TCTTAAAATATTTATTTACTACCTTTCCGCCTGCGGCTTCGCTTGCGTTGAATCCCTTAAATAAATATCTTTCAACCCTTTATAAAGCTTTTTTCTAATTAAAAAGTAGCCTATGTCCTTTCTGAGGCTCTAAAATATTTGTGTACCAAATTTTATTTAAAACGGTTCAGTAGTTTGAGAGTGAAAGCGAGACAGACAGACAGAGTTACTTTCGCATTTTTAATATTAGCATGGATAACGAAAAGCCTGAATCTGAGTGTAGAAAAATCTTTGAACCGTATATCGCGTGGATTCGTCGCCCGCGCTGTGTGTACGTGTGCGTACAATCCCGTTCCGCGTGCCCATGTGTGCGTGCGTGTGAGCAGTTCATTGGCACCGCGTTTTTTTTCTCCAACACGTTGGGATAGGTCATGGTCGTTTTATTTTTATTTTTAATCGGTCTCCTTAAAGCTCGCCGGCGAAAAGGTCCGATATCTCGGAACTATAATTTTCTCATCTTTACGGCCTTCCATATTTTGAATTATTTATTTTCGATGTATTATTATTATTATTCACGAACCACGGACCCTTGCAGTAAGTGCATTTTGGGGCCTTGCAGTATTACAGTGCTCCAAAGTCATTTAATTAATCATCATCATCATCGTACGCGAAAACATATTCGAAATAATGGATTGATAATAATATTGATAATGGATTTTGGTCTTCTTTTAGTTACACATGAAGTAAAAAGTAAAGTTTAGTAGCAGCCTATAAATATACAGATGGTATAAGGGCACATTGATTGAAGACTTTAGTCTTCAAACATTGAGGTATATTCGACGAGAAAATTTGCCGAAGTTTCCCGAACGCTGCCCATCCGAGTTGGATTCGCCGATTGACCTCTGCGTCGAAGTTGGACTTACCTAGCCGGACTAACTGTCCTAGGTAAACGTACTCGTCAACAACTTCGAGCTCAGTGCTCCCAACAACAACCGGTATAGGCGTGACATGGACATTAGACATGATCTTCGTCTTGTCCATGTTCATCTTAAGGCCCACCCGTTGGGAAACACTGTTGAGGTCAATGAGCATAGCACCTAGGTCCTCCAGCGATTCTGCCATGATGACTATATCGTGTGTTGCCAGTGATGACCTACGGAACCGAGACATGGTCCTTCACTGCTGGCCGTATGAGGAAGCTCAAAGTCGCTCAGCGAGCTATGGAGCGGGCTATGCTCGGTATTTCTCTGCGTGATAGAGTTCGTAACGAAGACATCCGCAGTAGAACTAAGATAACCGACATAGCTCAGAGGATTAGCAAGCTGAAGTGGCGATGGGCCGGCCATATAGCTCGTAGGACCGATAACCGTTGGGGAAGAAAGGTTCTCGAGTGGCAGCCTCGTACTGGCCATCGCAGTGTAGGACGACCCCCCACTAGATGGAGTGACGACCTGTGCAAATGTGCGGGAAGTCGATGGATGCAGGTGGCTCAGGATCGTACTTCATGGCAGTCTATGGGGGAGGCCTATGTTCAGCAGTGGACTCAAACAGGCTGAAATGGTGATGATGATAAGGGCACAGTCCACCACGCGACACCACCGCGGATTGGCGGACTTCACATATCTTCGAAATACTTTTCTATTAGCGTAATAGTAGTACTATTACGCTAATATCCTCAAGATTTTTCTTTCACCGCTGAGTACGTGATAAGTTAGTACCAAAAATTGTAATTAACAATTTCATTGGTGCCGGCGGGCCCCGGGATTCGAACTCAGGTTACCGGAGTGTATTGAATTAAAAGCGAACGTTCCGACACTGAGCTATTGCGGCATCTTTCACTCAATAACCTTCAACTATCTGAATCTTACTCTTACTATTGGCATGCTGTTATGGATTATGCAGTAATATATTCTACTGTATTGAGCTTACTAACAAGATTGCTTGTATAGCGCCAAGAAGAGTAACCAGACGCGATGATCGCGTGTCCCGATTATTTTACGCTGAAAACTGTACGACAAATGCTGGGCAGCGAGCACCGCTAGATGTATTTAACTCTCAATTTGTAAATTGTGATTTGTTTTCACTTTCACAAAATCAATTTAAAAGAATGGTTACTTAAAAAGTAATATGCAAATTGGGCTAGGAACCGACAATAATATTCTTTTGATTTTATTTCACTTAATATTATTTTTCGGACATTGGTGTTGGTTATACGTTTAGTGAAATAATTAGAAATTCCGTTTTATGTATAATTCTTAATGTATATGTTTTATGTCCCAATAAATAAAAAAAAATAGTATTTAGTCGATATTGCTAACAACTGATTTACAACTTCCCAATCCTCTATCTATGCCTACGCTTTAGTTAATATTAATGTAAAGTCTGTGGTTTTCGAGGCGACATTCCTTTAAAATAATATCGATAAATTTACGACAATATTAAAAGTAAAGTAACAGCCTATACATGTCCCACTGCTGGGCAAAGGCCTCCTCTATACAAAGGGTATCAGGGCATAGACCACCACGAGGCCCCACTGCGGATTGGCGGACTTCACATATCTTCGAAATATTTCTTTTTGTTATTATCCAAATATATACAGGTTTATAAATAGTATAAAGGTATGTTTTATAGTATGTGAGGAATGAAGTTTTTTTGTACTTGTATGATAAAAAAAGCTTAACTTTAACTTCCAGTTTTTATACGTGTTACTTTATAAAAGAAAACAGTTTATTGTTTTCACCTACACCGTAGACATTAATGACGAGGCTTGTGAGAATTTTATGATTATACGCCAGGTTTGTGGTTTTTATTCATTGTACCGCGTTCATTTTACCGTGTTCATTTTAAACTCTAGATGTTGCGAACTTCTTGGAGCATTTGTTATCAAAAATGTGAAGTGGTTTTATCAAACTATTTAATAACTTATTTGATATTGTTATTCACCAATGAAATTGTTAATTGTAAGTCCTCAATTATCGCGTGCTTGGCGGTGAAGGAAAATATCGTGAAAAAACCGGCATTTAAAAGATATGAGAAGTCTGCCAATCCGCAGTGGGGACATGTGTAGGCCCTTACCTTATTTCGTACTAGCGACCCGCCCCTGCTTCGCATGGGTGCAAAGTGTTATGCATATAAACCTTCTTCTTGAATCACTCTATCTAGTAAAAAAAACCGCATCAAGATCCATTGCGTAGTTTTAAAGATCTAAGGATACATAGTGTATACAGACAGCGGGACGACTTTGTTTTATACAATGCAGACATGCTGACTGAAGTACCCAAGGACATTCCAAGGTTGGCAACATAACTGTTACCCCACCAGCCCATTAATGATGTTTCGACATGCACTCCGAACTATCAGACCATACTTTCGACCAGAATCGCTGACTTTCAACTAACATAATTATTACTTGTGGAGAATTAACAGTGCCATAATCTTCTTTTCAACCTTTTGAGTCCATTGCTGAATGTAGGCCTCGCCCACAGACTGGGAAGCAAGACCCCGAGCCACCTGCATCCGTTGCGACCTTCCGCACACGTGAAAAACACTTTTTTGGAAAACCTTCCTTGTGATGAAACTTGTGGTGACCCCCTTATGGATTAATTGTTTACTCTTGCGTGAAATTAAACAAATTTTACACATTTTTCGCGTTAAATTATTTTTTTACGTAATCTGTCAAACTCATAATGGGTCAAACCAATTAAAATGAAAAATTAAAGGTGTAAAAGTCGGTAAAATTTCTTACCACCTTATACTAAAAAACTTTTAGTTCAATCACTTATACTTCCACATCTCGATTACGCTGATGTGTGTTACTCAGATGCAAACATGGAGGTTCTTAGCAAATTGGATCGCCTCCTTAATCAATGTATTCGCTTCATTTATGGTGTTCAAAAGTTTGACCATATTTCATCATATCGCTCTCAACTAAACTGGTTGAATATTTCCCAACGGAGGAATCTTCGGATCCTCTGTACGCTTTATAGTATCATTAACGATCCTTTTGCCCCAGCGTATCTGAAGTCTAAATTTCAGTACCTGGGTACCTCTCATTGCTGCAATCTTCGATCTGCTGGTAATCTTACTTTGCTTATTCCTTCTCACCGTACCGGTCTTCTCTCTAAATCCTTCGCTGTTACAGCTGCTCGACTCTGGAACGCCCGTCCTAGTGAAATTCGAAAATCACCGAATAAATTTATTTTTAAAGCTAAAGTTAAGGAATATTTTAATTCGTCGTCTTATGATCAGTAGTATGGATAACGTTTGATAGATAATTCCGTTTTATGTACGTATATATATATATATATATATTATATATATATATATATATATATATATATTATATATTTACCTATTATAATATTTTTTTTTTTTTTACTTTCAAGAATAATTTTTAAATTTTTTTTTTAATCCAAATGCTCATTCTTTATTGATCTAATATTTACAAGATTAAATCTATCTAAAATTACATATTATCTAATAAACCTAATCCACGCGGCATGGTGCCAAGAACGCTAGCTGCATTTCCTCGCTGAATAGTTATGCTCAACCTTTGTTACTACCAACCAAATATTTATTGTTGTAAGTTAATAATTGTTATCATAATGTATGTCTACATATTATATAATCCTTATATAGCTAGCACCTACACTTCTTTTTCACTAACTTTCCGGTTGGCTGGTAGAAAATGCCTTATGGCATTAAGCCCGCCGTTTGTACCAGTTAGTACAAAAAGTGTGTAAAAAAATAAAAAATAAATAAATAAAATTTGTTTCATGTAGTAATGTACGGCCATTTCTAAGACTGTGTAGCTAAGGGGCCGTCCATTAATCACGTGATGCTCCAAAGGGGCAAATATCACAAGGTGGTGTAGTAAGATATCACGTTTTCATCAAACTCTGAATTTCTAAACTGAAAAGCACCGTGTATTGTGTGTGAAACCTCGCCACGTATCACCAAGATGCTGAAAACACATCACGTGATTAATGGCCCCTTACGATCTAGAGAAATAAGCGAGGAATATGCTCCATTGCTACTTTCTGACTCCGCAGTGGACCCGATCCAATCGGACCGTGGAGGCCGGGCCGGTCATTCGCACGTGTAGGCTTTTCAGGGGAGCACCTTGCTCAGGCCTCGGCTCAGAGGCCCGGGGGGTCGGTGACCTGTTCAGGCGTGCGGCCACGCCCGATTGGATCGGCTGTGATCAGGCCGCGGCAGGTAATTGCCCAATCGGTGCTTCCGTGCGGTCGGGCATCGGAAGCGTCCGCAGAACAGGCGCGATTGACAACGTTGAGATTTACAGCACTCAGGGGTATGTAATGGGGGCTCGTGACGTGTGCTGTGCCAATTGCACGGGCACAGCACTATGTAGTAGAATTGGCCGTCGCATGAGTGAATCATTTTAGCTACTTGTACGTTTCGTCTGGTCAGTGAGGTAGACGGGGCCCATTTTAATACAAAGTTACGACGCATCTGCGACCTTACTTGGATGTCAATGGGCGGCGGTTTCACTCCATGTCCGGTGAACCGCCAGCCCGTTTGCCACCTCACATAAAAATCTAATGGTCCCAACGAGCCTGCCCGCTTATCGACGGAAGATGTTGCGTTGGAGAATCCTTATCCTAACTAATATTATATCCTAACTAATATTATATTAGTTAGGCCTATGTTCAGCAGTGGACGTCCTACGGCTGATATGATGATGATGATGAATATTATATTTGTATCTATGGTTGGATGTTTGTTACTCTTTCACGCAAATACTACTGAATGGATTCTAATGGAACTTTACAATAGTATAGCTTATATATCAGAGTAACATCAGGCTATAATTTACATACATATTTTTATGTATATCTGTCTTTCTGCCTGAATGTTACGCCTCCAGCCTATTCTACGCAGAAGTAGTCGCGGGCGGCGGCTAGCGAAGGAACAAACAAATAGTCGATTATTCTTCCGACCGTACTGGTCCACGCGAGCGTGAGCCCCGCGGAACTGCGCCTGTAACTGAACACGTTCAACTAAGCCCCGTGAAAACGCGATGCGACCCGGTGGGCCCATCGCGGTGGAAATTAAAAGTTGTCCACCTGCTCGCTTGCCATCACCTCGTTGGGCCGTTGACCTTTGCGAATCGAGACGCGTGACGTCATCGCTCTCAGTTGGCGCGCGAGTTTAAGCCTTGGGGACTCATCAACAAGGCTCCTCTCCGCTAGATCCATCCGTTGCTAGTGAATTTTTGAGGTCTTTGCGTGCGGCTTTAGTTTGCATGAAATGAAAAAAATTGAAAAAATTTTAATAACAAAAAACTAATTAAATCCGTTCTTATCCGATGTTTAGTATTACAAGTAAACGATTGTTAAAAACAATAAAACCTTACATTTTCTATCGAGTACCCCCCTAATATATCTCAGGAGTCCTATTTCCAATGCCAAATAAATAAATATTGGAATCCACGGAGGATAAACTGCACCCAATGCAAAATATGTAATAATTTTTAAAAATTATATCATAAAAAACAAAGTTCTGCGGTAACAAATTAATAGAAATAATTTTAAAATAAAAGAAAATACTAACGACCCGCCCCGGCTTCGCACGGGTGCAATGTATTATGTTTGTATAGTATAATAAACCTTCCTCTTGAATCACTCTATGTAGTAAAAAGAAAACCGCATCAAGATCCGTTGTGTAGTTTTAAAGATCTAAGCATAGATTGTTTTATACTACGTAGTGATCAAATTGAGATCCCTCTGTTTTTGAAGTCGGTTAAAATGCTCTATGGCAAGGATCCATAAAGAATAAACCTCCGCTACCCGCGCGATCCACCGGCGTCCATAAAGGATTTTCCCTATAAAAACGAGGTGAATAACACCAGTTTGTATCTCGTACGTCGCGTAATCTACTAAGCAAACAGACGCGGATTCGACTGCGCTACTGCCGTTATCAAACCGCCCGTATAGTCCGATAAGCCATATTCGGTCGGACCGGTCTTGTCCTGAGCCACCTGCCACAGCTGTTAGACTTTATAGCTGAACCTAACGGGTTTAACCGCATTAGATCCCCACCACCGGGGAGACATTCAGGGCCGGATTTAGGGCAGGGCAACCTGGACCTCAACAAAAGAGGGACCCCCACAATAGAGACTAATAATATTTCGGTCTAGTAAATACTAGTAAATAACTTTAACTTCTGTAATTTTTTCGTTTTACCTTAACCTACAGTACTTTGCACAAAAACGATTACATTAAATATGTGGAAATCAATGAAAAATGATTTGGGGCCAAGGGGCCTGCGCTCCTTCGTTGCCGGGAGGCCTCCAGACCTCTAAATCCTGCCCTGGGCATTATTACAAACGGACCACAACGCGCCGCCACGCGAGTACGGAATTGATTAAAGAACATTTGGTACACGACACTGTCAGTTCCTAACTGGTGGTGTTTCGCGAACCGTTAGTTGAGTTAGACTTTCACAGGCGCCGGAAAAAATTACAAAACTGAAAGGGAATGCGTGTGAGTGAGTGAGAATGCGCGAATATGTGGGAGAATGAAGAGAGAAGAGAGAAATTTTGCCTTTGAAAGTCTGTAAACCTATCACCGATTACTATCTGCAAGTGGCTGTGCATCGCAATTAGACCACTTACACTAGCGAACACAACAGACGTTGTCCTGTACAAGTGTCTTAAGTCTGAAAACTTAAGTAAATAACGATTAAGAAAAAAAAAGTAGTGGACCGTGAAATAGGAATCTAAGCCATTCTCAAATCCACGTGAAGACACAAATTTTTTTTATTAATATCTGTCCAGCAGTTTAGGAGTTCAGTGACATACACACGCACAGAAGAACTATATATGTAAAGATAATGATTTATGTCATCTACCCAGCTACAAAAATATTGTAACAAAGTTGTTTGTTTAGAATTACTCTTGAACTTTTTAATGTTGCCTTCGTTTTTTTTACACAACTGCCATCACTGCTTTAAAAGAAACTGCGATACCTTTATATTTATAATTATGATAGCTGTGACGTACTTAAAAAAAAAACAGCCAAATGCGAGTCGGACTCGCGGGCGAATGGTTCCGTATCATTCATTATCTATAAAAAATCATGCTGTTGTTATAGCGGCAACAAAAATACATTATCTGTGAAAAATTCAACTTTCTTACTATCACGCTTCATGAGATAAAGCCTGGTGACAGACGGACAGACAGACAGACAGCCGTAGTCTTCGTAATAGGGTCCCATTTTACCCTTTGGGGACAGAACCCTAAAATTGGCGATTCAAACTCCTGGTATACCGTGTCACAAATTTTAACTGACGCTAGATGTCTTGATGATTTACTTCAACTGAACAGTTATCTAGCTAGACTGTAAAAATATTTTTCACGTGCAGGAATTGAACGAGTGACCCAAAGTGCCGAAGCCAAAGGCGCGGCCACTAAACGCAAGACCGGCTATATACAACTTGTTTCACCGGGACACCGTTAAACAAACACGTAACTAATTTATAGTACTGCGTCATACAAACATCCTAGCAACTGTGATGTAACTCCAAACAAATATTGAACAAGTTTTTGTACCGTGTTGACATCGAACCCAAACTGAGCGTATTGCAGCAGGCAGGATCGATAAAACCATTGCAATTAGTGCAGACAACAATTAGAACTAAGTAACAATGTAATTACTCCGTTGTCGCAAACAAATTCGTCTGCAGCAACAAGTAATGCAGCCAGATTAGAGCCTCGCGGTGATCCATTAAATAATTGCAACGCTTACGTGCGGACTAATCCCGGCACTTAAGTGTTCGCAAGGATTGAGATTCAAAAGAGGACTTAAAGAAGTTACGATGGGAAGTGCGATTGCTCGTGCTAAGTAGATGTGCTAAGTAAGATGTTTGACCACACTGCATATTCTATCGCATTTGTCGGGGAGTGTTTTTTTTATTTTTTTTTATGTGAAAAGTTGTTAAGCGAGCAAGCGGTACCTGATCTTAAGTGAATACCGCCGCCCATGGACATCTGCCACACCCGAGAGTTACAGATGCGTTGACAATCTTTTGAAAATTGGGCTCCAGCTACCTCACTCGCCAGACGAAACGCGAAAGTATTTGTCTTTACGCTAGTCTTCTGCGAGGTCGTGGTACTTATCCGGATGGGCCTGCCCATTCGTGCAACAGCCGAGGCTGCTGCGTGGCCTTACCACTTTAAATGTGGCTCTCTGATAATATGGCACTCAAAAATTGATCATTTTATTCGCGAGATGGCATCGCTGCTGTGAAGGGGGTGGCAGGAGGCGCCTTAGGTGCGACTGAGCGTTTCCAGTTTATGTTCGCCATAAATAGAGAGTGCTCGTAACTGCCTTTGGCATTAGCCCGATACCGCCCCTACCGTTGAAACTCGTTCGATTTCTATTTCAGTTTCGTTTTAGTTAGATAGTCCTTCACCTTAAGTGCAGAGAATACCAATCCCCTACCCGACGTAACAAGCGACTAAAATTAATAATTATATTTTGTAATGCGATAATTGTATAATAATAATAATAATAATAAACACTTTATTTGTAAAAAACATGGTTGTACAAATGTACCGTGATGTTATGTCATAAAATTAAGCCTCGCATGTTTTTTGCTCTAGACGAGCGTACAAATATTTATTGTGCTGTTCTTAGCACCTGGATTAATATATTTAATTTTAATAATAAGTGTTAAAATTTAAAGCAGAAACAATATTAATTAAAAAGTAATAAAAATAAAATAAATTAAAATGTATCTATAAGTTAACAGTGGTATAAAAACATATGATATCTAATGAAATATACTTGCAGACTTAGAATAACATTTATACACTTAGCATTATTAAATTTTCATTTACATTTAAGGTTCATCTAAATTGTCATTAAGAAATTCACTTAGGTTATAATAACTTCTGTCATAAAGGATTAACTTCAGTTTCTTTTTAAAATTTAAAATATTTAAGTCCTTTATATTCATTGGTATCTTATTATATATTATAGGAGCCATACAAAAAAACGCTATTTAGCATACGTGCTGTTCTACCCCTGCGTATACACAATCTTGAACGGTCAATGTGGGGACAATGTGGGGTTGCTTTTTACAAAAACAGCAGTTAAATAGATATACAAGGACGTGAGTGTCAGAATTTTATTATCTTTAAAATATTTTTTGAAACTTTAGTTTGAAAATGGCACGAACGCATCTTTTTTGAGCTTTGAAGGCCAAATCTTTACAAATAGAGTTTCCCCAAAACATGCCATATCTCAGCCTGGAATCAACGAGTCCGTAATAAGCAGTTAGCAATGCATTTAAATTTATTAAAGAGGATGTATGCTGTGAAGTTTCCGGATAAATCAAAATGAATAAATGAATAAAATAATTCACGTGTACACTTGGTACACCCGCGTTCCAGGGCGGTTCTCACCGCCCCAGCCACCGACTAACCAAGCACAGTCAACGGCTATTGGGATCACGGACTTCACCGAACCTCGATGGACCGTAGGCGACACTCCTTAGCTAACGCACGCAAGAACACATGCGTGGCTCTACCCACTGTGGGGAGCCTCAAACCCGTGGGTTCTGGCTAGCCCACCGGTTCTGCGTTCGATGAAGCTTTAATAGTCTCGGAACTGAAAGCGCATCAGTTAATGAAAGACAATAAATAAAACGAGTTACGATTCGTGAACAGCAAAACTAAGTAACTTAGGTTGTTCTCTGTCACGGAGTAGAGAGGGGCACCGGTGTGCCATTCGAGGAACGAAGCGTCTCCAAATGTACTGAGGGTGGTCACTAAGGGGTTACAGTGGGTAAGAACGCCATATAGCCTTGGCTTCCCCAAAAAATAGGGTCTTTGAAGATCGCCCCCTCCCCCAAGCCATAACTGAATGAGAGGAACATACATGCATGCAGAACACAACACCCGCAGCAGTCGGTAAAAATTTTGTGATTTTGGCCAATACATTAATTAAATAAAGTGATACCAACTGTTTAATATCTGAAATGTCATAACGGGCTACATTTTTAATGAAACAAATGTCTATTGCATGTAATTTATCTTTACATAGTGGAAAACAAAATCTCTCCCACTGTTTATACGCTTAGATGTTTTAAACTACACACGCAACGAATTTTAATAAAGTTTTCAGCAATAGATAGCGTGATTCAAGACAAAGATTTATATGTAGTTTGCATGTATATTGTGCATGTGTATTGATTTAAAGATTTGTAATGTGATAACAAATGTTGTAACAAACATATTTTGTGCATTTACATTGCAAACGCTGGCTTAAATCGAATTAATGTACTACGCAATCGTATATTTAGAAGAAGAAATGTTTATTTTACAAAGATGTTTGCATTGTCTCATGAAAAAAACAGCTGTAAATATTGTATATGAGGTATTCGTAATAATGTTATTAATCACATCACACTGCCCCATATTAGTATCTATAATCACCCGTGCATAGCTGGGTAGGGTTGCTAGTGGCATATCAATCACATAACCTATTTCTAGTTGCATTGAATCAGCGAAATCGAATCGAGTTTCATTAGTAGGGCACAATACGTCGTGCTGCGTACTAGATGGGCAGTGTTAAAATTTTTATAACATTCGGGAGGGTTGTGCGCCAACAAAGGTCCAGTTCTCAGTCCACGGGAGCGGATGGTCACCGTCGTTCGTTGTTTTATAACGGAATGCTCCGGATGGGGTGGTGATGGGGTCATCGATAAAAGTCGAACTAACTTTTCGATTATACCCGCAGTCCAAACGGCGAATACGCCCATTTTACGTTTTCTCTCTCGATATTGACTCTTAGATGGTTTTATTAAATCGTCACAAATGTTTTTATCAGTATAGGTATATGGAACTATTTTTGCACGCGACTGTCTCTGTGCCGTTTTAAATAGGATTTACATGGGTACTGATATGTTAAATTATTCCTCAGGATTTATTTTCAAGTTATCTGAACCGTAATTGTTGTTATTATTTATTAATGATTAAAATTATACATCTATTATTATATCTTGTATTATCTAATTTCTGTCTCGCAAATGATCGTGAGTCGTCACCGCTATGAGATCTCCAATTTATTTTTTTCACATTTATTTCCTTCGCTTGAAACAAACAACTGTGAAAAATAATTACTTTAAAAA